ATATACAGCTTCCATCACTCCCTGGGAGCTAATTAACTAGTCATGCATGAACTTAAAAACAATCTTATATATGAAATGAAGCATTTGCATGCTACCGCCGGTCACCCAAAGTCTCGTGGATGGAGAACACTGAGGACACAAGCGAATGAACAGCGAGTGGTCTGAACCACTGAGCTGACTATAAATTCAAGAGCTTAAACCTCAAGTGCTACGCTTAACGCTCCAAGATAATAGGGAACTTTTGATTTGGGCAGATGCGACACTTGAACAGATTCAAGCATTTATGACCATCCTACATTCTCTACGTAGATTTTGGTCAAATTGTCATAGAATCCATGCGCCGAAGGGAATTTAAAGTTCTCGCATGCGCAAATAACTTTTTTAGTTTGGTAACATTAAATTTGTACGTCCCACCAAATCGTGCAAACGAAAGCTTCTTAATAGCTATCCTGTAAATCAAAGAGCGCATGGATGTATTATAATCAACGTTAAGATTAAGAATCCAAATTAAAATCAAATTACAAGCACATTGTCATTAATGATATTGGATCACCACAAATATATTTACAGGTACATGCATAATCTAACAATAACAACTGACAAACGAATTAACTGTTTGCCATAAATCTTCCTATAACTACTAGGCGGTACTATCGTGACCCCTGGATTAAGATATTTAAACATTAGGCAAACCAAAGTCATTAATAATAATAATTTTCAGTAGCAAATATTTGGCACCAGCTAAAGGAAGTTGGTAGTCAGACTTCAAATGTGAATTAAAATGCATCGTACAAAATATAAGCCATAAAATTGCTCCCATCTAAACTTTGAAGCTGATAACAAGAAGCAACCTATGCTGTGAAACTATCCATCACTGCATAGCCAGTGTGATCGTAATTCACAGATGCTCTAGTGATTCCAGCATGTAGACTTTCCTATCATAACACCTAGCATTGCACAATCAAATGAAAAACAAGACTAACAGTACACCAGTTCAGTGCTGATGAACAGGTATTTGACATTATCTTTACAATGTAGAAAAGGAAGATCACATGTATGTATTATTAAATATTAAATTTCACAACGTAGTTGCAAACCTATTTATAGTCATGTTTTCAAATAAAATATTAAGTATCAACTATATGGAAAAGGTATTTTATTTTAATTTCCGGTATCACTATTAAAACATAACTCATGCATATAATTATAAAACAGTTTGACATCAGAAAAAAAAACAAACCTTAAATACTGAACTGTAATAAAAACAAAAAAAAAAACCCCTTGAAACATATCTAAACTTTTTATGAATTGTATGGAAAACAGGTAAATGTTTTGATTTAGTCTACTTCTCATATGGTAATCGCCATCAAGAGAATAACCACTATTGTTATTTCATATAAACAAACAAGATGCTCACTTACCCATGATGAGCGTTGCATGCATAGAAATCATATAATGTTTCAACAAACTCTACGCCAGTTGCCGTTGCAAAGATAGAAAGCGTCACTGATACATGGTCTTAAAAAAAAAAAAAAACCACAGTATAAACTACAGTTACATTAACACAGGGTTAACTAAATGTCAATTAAAGAAGCCTTTAATGAACGGCTCTGGCAAAATCAGCCGCTTGTCTTCAAAATTAAAATATGAGTGATTTTCGATTTTTAGATCCTGCATGTATTCTTTAAAACAGTGTTTATTTGACCTAAATTGGTTGGGTATTAGTGAAGTTTGTAGATATTTCATTGGATATCATCAGCCATGCAGATTTTGAAAAACAGCTACCAAATATTCCAAAATCGATAGTTTATTATTAAGATTAGTATTTTTGAATAATTTTGATATTTTGCAAAAATGCTCTTCAATATCTTTTTTTATAAAATTAAAAAAAACCTGAAAATTAAAAAAATTCTCAAACAAATTTGGGTGCTTGTGAAAGATTAGAAGTTGCGACAAACGACAGGTTTTTCCATAGGGTTACGTATATCTAGTTGTGGCACGTGGGACGGTAATAATTTTGCTTTAAATATTTACCTTGTTTATGACCTCATCAAGTGTGACATCATTATGTGTGACAATCAAATTATGTTGCAAAAATATTATGAAATCATAACAGAACCCATTCCAACCCATCAATTACAGTGAAAGTATAATTAATTACATTATGTAATCAATTACAGTAAAAATATAATCAATTATAGAGAAATTATATATGATTACATTGTCATTGTAATTGACCCCATGAACTAAGGTGACCTCATTATATGCGACCTCATAGTTTACAACACCATTATTAGCTTATGATTTGAATATATGACATTATAAACATTTTTGCCATTATTATTAGGGAGACTTATTTAATACCTTGTTTAGAGAACTTAGTTATGTGATATCATTTATATGTCATTATTGTGAGACCTCATCATGTGTGACCCAATCCGTTGTTTAACCTCATTATGTGTTAAAATCAAACTAAGCAACTGAAATAATAGTCTCTTTAAAGTGTTTATTTATGTGCATGTTTCATTTTAGGTATAAGATTGTGTTTATAATTTATAACTACAATTACTGGTTTAGTATTTTTATTATTACATTATTATTATATTGTAGTGCAATATTTATTGTGAAATGGAAAGTTGAAGAGATATTGCTTGAAATAAATGCGAGTGTGACTCCCACAAAACAGAGAAAACAGAAATTGTATTATCTTTTACAAATTATATTATCTTTTAGAAATTGATACGCACTGCCTTTCTTAAGATCATAATCATCACCATTAAATGCTTGTTGAGAATGTATGCGTCCAGCTTCCTGTACATAAACAATCATTGATTTTGAAAGTAAAGAAACCACAAGAAACAATATACTCTTACCAGTTCCTGCCGGTATAGGTGGTAGTACCTCCGACTCCGGGCTTTGACAATTAAGTGTTTGGTTTGTTAAATCAGCATCTAGAAGCCTGCCATTGTTATTGAATATACATTTGTACTGGTCAGCATCGGTCAAAGGAGGAAGATTCTGCACCTGAATAGCCAGCTAAAATAATGAAAACATTTTTAGTCAATACTGAGACAACTTCAAACAATTTCTTTTTTTTTTTTTTGGGATAATGTTATTGAAAATTCATTAGCTAATTATTTAAGCCAGACTTGGGTATGGGGAGGATGTTTGACAAAAAAGTTAGGACTGTTGATAAGATACAGAATTTTGAAAATTTAAAAACTTGGGGAAAAGGGGGCATAACTACCATTTTCTTAGAAAAAAACAGTTGTACTGTACAACATATCAAAAATTGTTTTCTTCCGGAGCTAGCTTTAAATTATTATTTATTGTAATGTTACAAATTAACATTAATACATTTTATTATTAATTGAGCTGATCATTTTATTATTTTTCCTCCCTTCTCTACCATACCCACTCCACCCCTACCAACTCCATTTTTGCACTTACTTCCGTCATACTGGTAAAAAAAAATAAAGAAAATCAAACTGTTCAGGCTTTAATGAGGAAGAAATTTACAATATTATTACATCTAAAGCAGATAAAGCGCAATAATTCTTTAATATATACTTATGAAGCTTAAGTATCAGTATACCTGTTTGAATCAAGATACGTTAAAACTTAAAATCAAACTTACAACCTTATAGTATGGGGATACAATCACTTTAAGAAAAGGGTTCAAAGAAAGTGATCATGTGTCAGCTTACCATTTTTGGTTCTTGACTATGCTGTAAACTTGGTGGAGTGACTTGAGTAATTGAAACACACTCAGCTTCGTTGAAAGGGAGCCACGGACCAGAGGAACAGACATCGTATTTAGTGCATCTATAAATAATAACATTTAATGTTGAGTTGTATTAGACAAAATGCCTGGGGAGACAGATTTGCACATGTACTTATAGGTTTCCGTGGTCTAATGGTATGATACTCGCCTCGATAGCGAGAGGTTACAGGATCAAATCCCGCCAGAGACACCTTTTTCATACAACTGAAAAAAGAACTTTTCATTCATGGGCTCTGCTTGATATGATTATATTTACATCATCAAGTTCCCATTCGAACACTGTTATTAATAATCAATTTATATTGAGTTTAAAGTGCTATGCAGAAAAATTACTATATTTGTATAGACCTATATAGTTGGAAAAATATTTTTTATCACAATTTTTATAAATTTATTTTAATACATAAATGATTTCATATTATTACATATTAATTGTTATACATACTAATTAGATTGAATGTGAAGCAACACTGTTAAATAATGATACTAGATAGAGCAGTGTTTGAATCACATCAATTAGGAATTTTTAAAAAAACAACATTAATTCAATATTATATAATCATCTTATTATTATATTAGATTTATAGAAACACTAACACTAGTGTTAAGATAGTAAAATGAAATGCTAATTATCAAATACACTGCAGCCATGGTAATGAGGGTGATATGTATAGAAGGCAGATAATGACCTTAATAATAGACAATGTTTATAAGTCCATTATGGATTTGCACAACATTGGACAGCCTGCTAATTTAGGAATGCATTACTACATCAGATCTTTACTACAGTATTTAACCGTCGAGAATTCTCTGCCGTGTTGAGGTAAATTTAGTTTTGGCTTTTAACCTCATATGACTCCTATTTCATGAGATTAGTTGTAAAAGAAGTGACCAGTAAAAAAATGTTCTATTTGCTTAGATAACAATCAGGAAATAGAAGAGGAAATGGATGGGGTATGTTGTAATGCACAAGCCTATTATTAGGCCCAATAAAAAAAATTATTAGTTTATCACCCTTGCGCGCATGTCTTTTATGGTACTGGGGGAAAAAAAAATTTTTGAAAATTTTTTTTGATTTATTTTATTAAATAGTTAGTAGATATTGCTTGCATTATCTAAATCATGTTTTACTTTGAATATCAATGCACCAGCAAACAACCCAAGGGTGATATTTGGCTTTAGCAAAATAAAAAAAAAATAAAAAAAACCTCCCTCCCTCATCACTTTTCCTGCCCAGATAGGGTGATAAACTAATAATATTTTTTATAGGGCCTTATAGACACAGTACCATACACTGAAGGATGACCTAGTATTAAGAAACCCACAATAAAAAATGGTAGAATGTAAAATAATATTACAACATGAAGATTTGGAGAACTGCCATGATTCTGGTCACGTACTGTAGTAAAAACAATGGTAGCACCAGCCACCAGTGGGAGTAGCCAGGACCCCCATTTAAAGAGAGTTTACATAATTTCCACATGAATGGATAAATAAAGCATTGTCTATTGTCTATTGTTTCAACATTATTGTGAACCTCAAAACAATTCAATGGAAGAAAAAAATTATTCCTACGCGAATATTACAGATTATGAGACTCCAAATCAATTAGGACTTTCATATCTCTAAGTAGTCAGAGCTTGGGCTCCCCCACCCCCTGAGCCTTCTCCAAGGGGTTTTTGGCGGTATTGGGCCATGTCTACTTAAGCTCTCATGACAGTGAAAACAGTAATGGCAACATCTCTAGTTTGCACCACCTAGAGATCTATTTATTATCAACACATCACTAGTACAGTAGTAGGAGTGCTCAAATTTTAAAGTACATTTAACATATATCTACAATTAGGCCCTGAAATGATTGATTCTGTTTTGTTTGTAGAACCTATCCTACACCTTTCACCTTACAATCCAACCTTGCTTAGGCCTACACTTTTACTAAAGGCAGCTGTTGTACAGGAGTGGGTATTTCCAGAAGCTTAATTATATATACCTACACTCCCTCCTGTTCAATAGCAGCCGTGTTTCAAAAATAGACAGGCTCTATACCTGCACTAGCTCGCCAAGCGAAATAATCATCAGACACAGTATATACAATTTTGTTAATGCCACCAACAATCACAATTTTGCATACTGTAATCAAATGATTTTCACAGGGTTTCATTAACATTTTAATACTAGGGAGACATATTGTCCAAGGAAAGCTTACTCTCTAGCTTATTGATTAATTTTGCATAAAGTATAAAAACACCTTTTCAGTACATAGTAGTTGCACAGTGGTGGTAGCAAAGACTAAGAATTTTTTAACTTCTTTTCTTCCCAAATTTAATGATTCTTAAGAATTTTAATTGACAAATTCACTTATGTTCTCCATTTAATTGTCGCAATAATAATTGTATTATATATTTATATAGATTTTCCAATTCTTATGTATTTTTATATTTTTAATAATTGTTGCAATAATAACCGTTATCATATTTTTATATAGGTTTTTGAATATCGATATTGATGCTTTTTCCATTGAAAGTTTTTATTTGTCTTTTTAAATTGTAAATACAAACCATTTCTAGCATTGGCTGCTGTTTGTAATTTCATGTTTTTTTTACACCGAATAAATTTAAAAAAAAATAAGGATAACATACACCAAGAGAAATGCTTGGATACTGATTAAAAATGATTAAACAAATTCTAATCATTACAGTATACAGTAGTAGTTTGTAGTTTACCCTTGAGCTGAAAAAGAAAATGTGACCTGCATATGCTTTTATCCTACATCTACTGTATTTAGTCACATGGCCGACTAAGCTACCAACACCCAATTATATGTGAAAAGGAGATATTGCAGATGGACTTAAGAGACTCATGATGCCACTTCCTCAATCCAATGTGAAAAATAGACAGATGGACATAACCTTTAACCTCAGATATCGATGGAGTCAAAGAGCAGCTAGCTTATAAACTAGAATTGCCTTGAAACAGTGTGGTGATGTGTCTGGTTGTTATAGTTTTTTGAGCACTACTGCAATAATGTGCTTGAAAAATATCACAAGTTACTACATACTGCACGTAGGCTACAGCATACAGTAGAGTAGTAAGGCAAGAGTTTTTTAATACCTTGTTTTGCGAACTTATTTTTTTAAAGACTGTCAGAAGAGGGCGGAAAAAAAATAAAAATAAAATTGTGTTTATTTAGCAAATATTTTTGCCATACGGACAAAAATAATAAAAATAAGGAAACCTTTCATTTTTTTTCTAAAATTTCCATTTTTCCCTGAGGCAGCGGGTGCACTAATTGGCCAAAAAATGTATTTGAAATCATCATTATCATTGGTGGGTTGCAGGTTCGCTAAACAAAGTATACAAGGTGTGAGCAGGAAAGCTACATTTTTAACAATTAGAAGGATAAATGCAAGCAAAATAATATATTATGTCTGTTATGCGACATTTACTATAAGTACACACGCAGTGGAAAACAGGAAACCCTACACTACTTCAAACAGGATAATCTAGACTCAGGATGACGGATACACTAAAAAGTTATATAATATTTGTGACACAGTTAAGTACCGCCACTTATTTGCTTAAGCTTTATCCGTTAAAACTACTTTATATAGATTTAAAGGATCATCCTAGTAGTACATAGTAGTAGTAGTCTAAAATTGAGAATTTACCGAATGCAAGAAATGGCTATTATTTGAACATTTATTTATTTTTTAAATATATAATTTTAAAACATTATAAACTAGAAGAATTTTTATTTTTTTATTTTTAAAATATTTTATTTAGATAGGCCTTTCTTTTGTGCAGTATTTTTTTTCATTTCAAAAATGAAAAAGTATTTTTTAATTATATTTTATCTTTTATTTTAAATTAGATTATTATTTTAAATAACATTATAAAACCATTTTAAAAATGTATGTCTATTCATGCTTAATATTTATCATTATGACATGATTTTTTTCAATGACATTATCCTTGTATTTTGATGCAGCTCGATACCTGTCAGTTGGCGAGCTGCCAAAACGGAATACACGCCACTTCATTTCTTCTCCAAAACTGTTACACAAAATTTTACATTATCATTAAGCTTTTATTACATTAGGATAGCCACTTGTGCAGAGCTAGTAATATACCAGCTGTGAAAGTATCACCATCATGATGATCTACGAAAACCAATGAACTCTAAATGGCAAACTTATTTCATTCATGAGTGAAGATTGGATATATCTCAAATTCATTATTACAATACTATAATAATTTTTAAAAGTTACAATATAAAATAGCTAATTGATCTCAGATCAATTAATATCGCGACGAGATTTGATTGACAGATAAACCAAATAATCAGCGAGTGTCACTTAGTCACGTGATCAAAAACTTTTTCTTAGACATTTTAATTTCCTTAGACAGCTGGTTTAAACGGGAAACATACGTGAGCCTAGGCCTAGATGTCCATGCTTGGTTATATATACCCAGATTTTACACGAGCAGTGCGCATCAGTGACTTGGCCTTTGCCGACAACAAGGTTGACTGAATGCGGTTTTCCCCTCTTCATTTGGGAGTGAAATACAGAGGCTTTTACAACAATTTCCCCACCATGTTCCATGAAATAGATTAACACTATGAATATATGATTCATTTGCATACCGCCTACCCTGAATTCTCTTTCTTTTAAAGAAGGTTGATAGCAAAAAAAATCTTCGCCAACTCAGTAAGTCTAGCCACCATTGTCTCAAGACTTTTGTGACTTTGTGGGCGGGGCTTTGCGTCCTTGTCAACATGTCAATTGGTGAAACAGTGTGGTGGAGAGTGGTTTCTGTCTCTGTTAGGACTTGATTTGCTTTTATTTTATTGATCTTTGGTCTCGGCCTTTTGGTTAGACTAGGCTAGTTGTGTGTGACCTGAAGCCATAATACCATACTAGGCATGCTAGTCACTGGTGTAGCCAAATATTCTGTCAAAGAATGGCTAATAATAATAATAATAATAATAATAATAAATTTCTTCATTATGTGAACCAATAAATGTCAATGGATTGTTAAC